CAGCCCCATCCAGCCCCATCCAGCCCCAGCTGGCAGCAGTGTGAAATCGTGCTTGCTAAAATGAGCCTGCTCTTGGCCTGGATGTGTGTTTCCCAACAATTCAGAGACCTAGAGAATGGGAAAGGCAAACATTGTATTCCCACTTTCCTTGGCAAAAAGAGAACAGTGCTGCAGCCACAGGCAAGGCGGGTTAGAAAACCTGTTTGCTGGCAGATTATTGTCTGTAACTTGCCTCCTTAGTTCTTACAACACTCTCTCCTTCCCCCTCCTCCTCTCCCATGGTCCAACCCTGAGGGTCCCACGAGCAGCTGGGAGGCCTCCGATGTTATCTCAGAGCTCCTGATCTGCTGACATTTGAAAATCTTCTGGCTATAACTTGCTCATTTAGCAGCTGCTGTTCTGCAGGACTGAATCCTCCTAAATGAGACCCTACACATAAAAGTACAAAGTAAACAGCCATCGCCTGAGTCCCCCGAGCCAGAGATAGCCTTTGGGTACATTTTGCAATATTTTGTTTTGTTTGCTCTCAGCCTGGACTTGCCCCCTGCTTTTAGCACAGTCAAGTTCTTCTACGTATACTTTAAAAAATTCCTTGTTCTTTTTGTTTGGCATTACATCCTAAGCATTTCCCTGCATCATCCAACCTCTATGGGATGTCATTTTTCACATACACACAGCGTCCTCTGGTGTGGTTGTATGACACGTCACTTAACTATTCCACACCCAAAGCCTCCCCTTTTCCAAACTCTTCCCTGGGATCTCCTGAAGGTAACAGCAAGATCGGAGCAGCGCTGGATGGATCCTACTCTCAGTCCCCTGTCTGGGAACGACCCTGAACCTTAACAGGGATGTTAGCTTCCTAGGGCTGCTGTAACAAATCCCACAAACTGAGTGCCTTCAAACATTGTCTGGTAGTTCTGGAGGTCAAAGGTGCAGAATGAGTTTTACTGGGCTGAAACCAAGGTAGGGCCGTGCTCTCTCCTGAGGCTCTAGGAGAGAATCTGCTTCCTGGCCTTTTCTAGCTTGGAGAGCTGCATTCCTTGGCCCATGGTCCCCCTTCCTCCTCTTCGAGGCCAGCAGCGTAGCATCCTCAGATCTCCCTCTGCTTTCATCTTCACGTTGCCTTTCCTTTTCTGCAGTCAGATGTCCCTCTGTCCCTCTTATAAGGACACTTGTGTGATGATATTTAGGGCCTATGTCAGCGATCCAGGATCATCTATAAATCTAGAACTTAATATTTTTTTTAGACGTGGTCTCACTCTGTCACCCAGCTTGGAGTGCAGTAGCACCATTTCGGTTCACTGCAACCTCCGCCTCCTGGGTTCAAGCGATTCTCCTGCCTCAGCCTCCCAAGTAGCTGAGATTACAGGTGTGCACCACCACCTCCAGCTAACTTTTTTGTATTTTTAGTAGAGACAGGGTTTTGCCATGTAGGCCAGGCTGGTCTCGAACTGCTGACCTCAGGTGATCTGCCTCAGCCTCCCAAAGTGCTGGGATTACAGGCATGAGCCACCGTGCCTGGCCTCAAGATCTATAACTTAATCTTAAGCAGTGTCTGCGAAGTTTATTTTGCCACATGAAGTAACACTCATAGGTTCCAGAGACAAAGACCTGGATAGATCTGTGGGGACATCGTGCAGCAGACCACACCAACCCAGGGGTCTAACCCTGAACCTGGAGGCTAGCGAGTGTGCCCTTGGCCCCTCTCTGCTCCGTCCCCTGATGTTTACTTGTGGAGTACCCGTGCTGAATGCTCGGCTAGATTTCCTTCTGAGTGCAAGAAGAATGTGACTGCTGTTTCAGCTTGCAAATCTCGCAGTGAATTTGTCTTGGGCCCCTGGTAACCTGCAGCTATACAGGAAAGGAAATTCTGGAAAACGTATTTCTAGCTTAGCTAAATTGACCCAGCACAAATCCACACAAAAGCACAGACCTCTGTGTTTTTAGGTTAAGAAATGGAGTAGCTTCTGGGCTGAGATATTCTCCCACTCTTCATTCAGACACCCTTCCTCTCAGATGGTCTCTGAGGCCTCTCACAAAAAGTCCCTGTGGCCTCAGCAGCTGGACCTGATTGCTGTTGGCTCACTTCTTCTCAGGAGCTTTACTGTGGTTGAGATGATTTGTTATTCTATACTTGTTTAAAGTTACGTTATTCTTTTTTTTTTTTTTTTTTGAGACAGAGTCTCGCTCTGTCACCCAGGCTGGAGTGCAATGGCACGATCTCGGCTCACTGCAA